GAGGTCTCCTAAAATGAAAGGAGGCCCACTACTGGACTGGGCTTGCCCATCTTGTAGATTCTATTTCTATTTATTCGAATTAAAAAAATTCTTAATCCTAATATAAGTTTAATTACAAGTAGGAGATTTAAACATTTCCCCAGAATTTCCAAGTTTGTTGCATTTTAAAATTTTGGACTTCAAAATGTTCTCTGTGCCAGAGTGGAGAACGTCAAAGTTACAGTAATTCTTAAACTGTATAGGACCTACTTACGTGCTGAATTTTTGCATGTACCAGAGTCCCGTATGGTTTTCTTTTATTCAAAGTTGTGAGCATTTTTCCTCTTTGGTGACTTCTGACCTGGTATTGCAATATGTGAGGCATTTGATAAAGCTTGAACTGATATATTTTCTTGAAAATTACTTAATGCGTACTTCAGAACGATTTTAGTTTCAAAATGGTCCCGTTTGTGATTTCTTAGTCGGAACTTTTAGGAGGAATGCAGAACTCCGCGACTGAATGCGACTTTTCGTATACCGAAATGTTAAAGGGTACAGTGTACCCCATTAGGATAGGGTAGGCGAACCGATTCCAAGATCCTGCTGAAGATGCTGTTTCAAGAAATGCATTCTCCATGTGTCCCCCCTATTGTCCAAATTTGATGTATTGCATTCTGTGAAAGATCGGCGAGCATAACTTTCATCTTCGAGATCATTTCTGGTGAATTCGAACTCATTGTACCAACATCTGATCGTGCGAAGGGGCACTTCCTAATGTTTCTTTCCATGTCACGTTGACTCTACCCTGTATATGCCGTCACTTGTACTTCAATAACATAATGGCAACAAGTTACGCCGACACATAGTCACTGGGAAGCGTCCACCATCGTCTCTGATGCATTACCACAATGAACAGAAAACGAGGCTCGTCTTATCTAAATCACACTTTTGAACTGATACCCTGTCTGTCGGCAAGTTAACGCATGCATAGAACTTGAAAATAAGCCCCGGATAGAATTTATCGGCAAAAAGTTTATCTTCAGCCCTCATGCAAGAACTTCAAGCTGAAATTTTACAATAGGTCAATGGGTGCTTTCAAATTTGTATAGAGAAAGTTTTTCAGGCTCATCGTTTCTATTCTTACAGAACATTCCTTTAAGTAGAACCGTATATAACGCATTTGGAAAAGGCTCACACGCGTTTGTGATGAGTAATATGTTTATTTCCATTATTGATCATAACTCCAGGAATTATTAGAGTTTCTAGGCCATCTAATATACTGTATATAGATGATCGTGACTGACTGACTGACGTTAATTCTAACCATGTTCTAGAAGGGTTAGATATCTGAAACTTGGTACACATGTACCTTTTGGGATGCAGAATTCATTTGAAAAAATCCGACTTTGGAGGTACATGCCCTGGGGGTACACATTTTGGGGGGAGAAGTTTTTAAATATACAGGGCGTTTCATTTAAATTGTACATCTTTGAATGCTCATATCTCTGAAAGGATGCAACCGTTCTTTACGAAATTTGACCACAATATAGAGCAACCTTTGCCAAATTATTGGACAGAGTTTCTTAATCGCAGCGCCATCTATTGAGTTGAAACACCGATTCTGACAAAACCTCTGAAACCAAGATCTTATCAACTTGATTAAATCTTTTAAAGCTAATCATTCGTTAGATAATGCCTTGATCCAGTGGTGCTGAAAATTTCATGATTGTATCTCATCTCCTTACTAAGATATCAATCGTCAAACCTTAGCCACTTAACCCATCCGCTTACACTTAATACTCTCAATGCCATGGATTTTTCCGATGTTTTGGCCTGAGCCCCTGTTACCATCGTCCTGACGCATGAGGCCTACGGCGCAAGGCTATGACGGCTTTAGCGTTACCCAGGATGAACCAACGTGGAGGTAGCCGTCGTTCATCCCATGGGGAGTTTTTGGAAGTAACCCTTGCCTCCACGTCATCCACCATCAAGAATTCACAATCAGGAGATTATCCTTTGTGAAGCTTGATTTGCTTACCCTCAATCTCGATGCAAACCTGGCATCGGTTGAGAACCGAGTGGCACGCCTTCTGAACCATATCCTGAGGGATGGTGTCGAACTCCTCCTTAATGATTTCTTTCAGCTCAGGAATATTCCGAGGAGAACGGGCGAAAACCCGATCCTTGAGATATCCCCAGAGGAAGAAATCA